AAGGGGTAGACACAGTATGCAGTGCGTGTGGAGAGGAAGAAGAAACTGCCGAACACTTGATAATGTTCTGTAAAGGGCTTCACCCTATAGTTCAGGATGATGGCGCAGAGTTTTTCAAAGCACTGGGATTTAGGGACAGCGAGGGCAAAATAGACTTTAAGCGGGTAGACTTAACTAGAAGGAGATTATCTGATTGGTGGCTAAAGTCAAGGCACGAGTGAAAATTAAATCCTTCACTGCGAAGTACGAATCCTCAACTTCATTATTTAAAGGAAAAAAAAGATAAATGTAATGGTTAATTCACTAAGTATTACGGCTAGGTGGCGTTAGCCGCCGCCCGATCTAAAGGGTACAGCCACATCTATCCACCCATCCATCCATCCTTAGTGAATCAGGCAATCACAACAATGTTATTGCAAAAACATTGCGCATTGTACGCCTGGTGAAAAAACCGCGCAGCGGCGTTATGACAAATTAGTTAATCATTTTCACCTCAAAAACACTACGCGTAAGGCAACATGTGCAAGACTGTGGTTGAACAAAGCGTCAGAAGATGTCGACACTATCGTTAAAGTAAAGGCAGAGACTGCTGTGCCACGCAGCACACGAGCCACCTGCACACAGAAACGGCTGCTGCGCGGCACAGAAGTGACGTCATGCACTTTCCCGGTTAGGCGCTTTGTTTAAATAGTCGGGACTGTTCAGCGGTACGTCTAGACGTAAGGATAAAAGCCGTTAAAGTTACTCCAAACGTAAAAATAAACAAAATGTTATTTAGGTCCAGCGTGACAACAACACAAAACCAGCTTGTTTGCCATTCAAAACATATCGGCAGCTGTGGTGTAGTTGGTTAGAACTGCACATCAAGAACTGGCGAGGACGGTAGTTCAAGCCCCATTGCATTCTTTCCTACTTTCTCTTTCCTTTTGTTCACGCATGTATTGTTTTAACATTTCCGCCCCCTCATCAGTCTCCCGTCAGCCTGACTTGCTGCTGGTGGTGGTGGCCCTGTCCACAGGCCCTTTAATATTGGATGTTTGATGACTCTCGCAGAATTGGCTATATTTATTGTGATAAAGTGTTTTGCGAATTATTGCTCTTAATCGGCGAGACGCAAGAGGACACGAAAAACTCAAAACTTTTTTATGTCGCTCAGCGTACCATCACCTAGCGAGGTCACCAGCAGGCCGCTTCAACGTGCCACCGCAATGGTCTAGGCGATCAGCACTTGATAAACGATGCCCAACAGGAAGTGCCGACGGCATTAGCCCATATAACTACAAAACAGCTAGTCTGCTTTGCAGAATAACGCGCACGGCCTGTGACAGCACGGGGGCATTTACGTAGCAACGGGTGAGAACGGCCATACGTGTTCGCACTCAACAAAACAGCCGGCAATGCAGTAGCTTTGGCCTTCGGAGACCACAGGCTTCGTAAGAACACCACAAAAAGTTGTTTCCATTCATCGTATGAACACTTCGCCGACGCGCTGGGGTTTCATGCATGTGCGTCCGGTCAGTCACACGTCAACTGTGCGAAAGCATTTATTTCATCCTTGACCTTGCCCTTCGCGACAAGAAAACCTTGCAGCAAGAAAACGTTCACCTTTGTCAACACCGCGCTTGGCACTGCAGCCTAGGAAATGCAGTGCGTCTAACAACAATAATCCGCACTTCATAGTGAGAAACTTTATGGCGCACACACTCAGATGAAGCTGCGGCGCGGTGGACGGCCGTGCTAGCTCCAACCACCAGGTTCAATTAGGCATCCAGCAATTACACGAAGCAGCAACGACACAGGGTCTCCGGTCCTCCTTGAAGGCGGTCTAGGCCATGGTCACGATTTAATTGAAGTTTTCACCACCTACACACATCGCAGGCAGCTATCATTTGGCAGTGTTCACCATTCGCAGCCGCAGCGCCTATTGCGCCCCCTGTATTTAAAATACATGTAATATGTGTTTAATTAACAAACATAATTAACAAACATAGGGAAATTGACTTGTTAAACACTTGCTTAGTAAAATGTTTGTAGGTTTAACGCATTACACATGAATAATTTATACATTTAACTAGCTTTTGGTAATACTTTTTAAAGTGACGTCACTTCCGTGCGGCACAGAATCCACTTTTGTGTGCGTCTGGCTGCTGCGCCGCGCGGCCCAGAAGACGCTGCCTAAAGTAAAACCTTGCATTTTCATTTTTTTTTTTTTGGCGCATACCAGGATACTGTGCACGACAAAAAAAGTCTCGTGATTTGTCTCGACGGTGATTCAATCCTATGCAATTTAAATGCAGTTGGCATCACCATTTATGGTTTGCGACAACTTAAAGGCACACACGTTTATGTATGAGCAGCTCAAAACGTTGGCAGACACGCGTTCCGGTAAGACGGTAAACGCAAACCGGTATCCGTGGTACGATTATATAGAAATTTCAAATCCGGACGGAGGCGGTCTGTTCTATTGAGTCGCACGCGATTGGCCCATTCGAGCCGTGATGAATGCTGTGACGTTCTATGTGATGTGGGACGAGGTGTCACGTGACTGTTTTTCTCCGGTTTTTGAAGGAAGGCGACGGAACGGTCGGAGAAACCGTTCGAAAGGAACCAGATGGATTGAAATGGCTGCGAGGTGGCATAGATTAGATTGAAATGCAAGGGCTTTGCGGCTTTTCGGCATCCGGGCACTTAGACAACATGGCATTTCCCACTGCCACGGTTCTTCGTCTCGCCCAAGGAGGATTAAAGAAAAATTGCTGGAGTGGAAGCTCCCGCAATGCCTTGTCAGCAGAAGTGAAGCCAGCTTTTGCCACTGCCAAGATGGCGGTGGCAAAATCTTTTCTCATAGTGCCCACTTAAAGATCAAGTGGCTTTTATATGTTATGTAAATGCTACGTTAGTTCTATATTAAATGATAGTTGTTCCCGACGAAATAACACACAGCAACAAGTATGGATGACTGAATCTTCAAAGAACTTTGCCTCCAATTAGAGGCTCACTAAGGAAAACTAGTAACTGTAAGACGCACTTGGAGCAATATGTGACCCGAAAAAGTTCCCATATTAAACTCGTTGGTGGGCGAGGGAAACGCTTAGTTTTTAGTCACTGAACGGCGATACTTTATCATGCCCCTAGTAAGATGGCCGCCACAACCGCCATCTTTCCAGAGGAACGGCTTCACTTCTGCGCAATAATTTCCACTCCAGCAATTTTTTAAATCCTCCTTGGTCTCGCCTGTGCGGCAGCGGTTCAGTGCGTAGCTGAGCTCTTGCCACAGCCGCCGCCGGTCGGTGACCGTGACGCCGTGCTGCAGCTCGATGGCTTTCGCAGCAAGCTGCGGATGTTCGGTCATAAAGGCAAGCACCAGCGCGCGCTGACCCTCGGAAACGCAGATGAGCAGCTGCTGCTGGTAGCTAGCGGCAGGCTAGCAGTGTCGTTGCCCTCCGCCATTACTGCGCTCGACTGAGCCAACGGCCATAGAGAAAGAAGAAGACACCTTTCTTTATTTCTCTATGCAACGGCTTCGAAAGTTGCGCCGTTTGGTGATGGAGATATGAGAACAGTAACTGCTTGAAACAGGGTTGTACCTAGCATCATCACTAACCGTCCCACAAAATTTAGCGTTGTTCCACAACAATAACCAAAAAATACGTTTAGATTGTGCCGTATTGCTTCTTCAACGTTTCAGAACTAGTGCCAACATATTTTAATAGTGAGCAATAATAGTTAAATATTTCTCAACATGTCACAAACACTTTTTACTTTGCTCTACGGTCCCCAAGTCAACGTCAAAATGATGACGCAGGCCTTCTTTTCCCTCATTGGCTGTTTGCTTGCCCTCGTCTTCGCGACCGCCCACTTTCTGACGTCACCGACAAAACGCCTCCGTCCGGATTTGGAATTTGTATATAATTGCACCACCAGTAACACGTTAATAGAGTATTTTAGTCTGTCCGGCAATCCGGTATGTTTCTGCGTATACCGGGTTGCCGGAGGGCGTCAAGCCGGATAGCGTTGAAACGAGCTTTTTGCACTTTTAGCCCGTACCGCCCAAAAAATGCCTGCAACGCCGTCGCGGCCGTGGCTGTCGCATCTGCGTATGCGCAAAGTAGAAAGCCTTCGCGTTTACTGACTAAATCTGACAAGAAAAAAAAATTTAGTTATTAGTTATTTCAATACCTTCAGGGCCCGAGGGCATTACAGAGGGGAGTGGGTTACATTTTCAACACAACATAATGAAAAAGCGAAAAATTGGTGGTTACATGGATCAATGAAAGAAACCAACAAGAAATAGTGCACATTACAAAACAGGTATTAAAGAACTACAAAGCTTAACAGGTCTAGTACTAAACAAAAAGATCAAGCAAACGATATAACACTCAACCACACGCACGTGTCTATAAACAAAAAGAATGCATCATTTCAACAGCAAATGTCAAGATACGAAAAAAAAAATGTAGAACAACGTGCTACTGAAAAATGGAAATACTATATTCCTAAAAATTATGGCGACAGGTTAGTTACAGCAGCCTTAAACATAGGGTTATTAGTAATCTCGACTACAGATCCGGGACAATGCAATTGTACAATGCCAATAAATTTTTTGTTACAAAATGGAACTTTATGTTCGTTTTTTTTTTACTTGCACTGTGATTTAAACCTAACTACCTAACTTAGAAGAAAACATCAGCATCATGATGATCGGCATCACGGAAGCTTCTCACCTTTCATAGAGTGCCTAGAATATTTCTCCTAGTGTCGTGAACGGGCTGGCCGAGGGGAAATAGTATGCGATACAGCCGCCAGGTGACAGTACCGCTCTCTGGCGCGCTGCTTTTTCGGCAAGCTGGGGAGGCAGCAAGCCGGAGCAGACGCTTTGCGTTGAAATTGCAGTGGTGGTTTCATGGCTTAGCACGCGATTGCCTTGTTATCCTGCGTTTTCCATGCAGACTGTAAATAAAGCGTGTGAATTTGAACGAAATGTATGCGAGCTCTCTGCCTTGTTGAGATTTTGTGTCCTCCTGCCGTGCCGCCTCTTCATAGATTGGCCGCTCGCGCGTTACCAATGCTACTTTTTAAATTGCGGTAATTAAGGGGTGGCCAACCGGGGGCTCCCAGCGGTACGACTGTTCAACACAAAAAATCACATATTTCTCTCCTCATCCGCGATTACCATTCCCTCCGTAGGCTGCTGTCGCGACTTTGTTGTCATGTGCAGAATCGCAGGCACTGTACAAACCCTCTTCTCGCAACTTTTTATATATACAATGTATTATGGACACTTACTTTCCCTGCACTCGGTGGCAGGCCTGGACGCACCCACGTACAAGGGTCATTATCTCTTCGATTGGCCCTTCACGCCTCGAAGTAATCAGAAAAATAAATAATGCCAAAGCAATGACAGTGCGCCAGACGAAACCACTGGCGAACAGGACCCCCTGCGAATGAGTTACCAGCAGTAAGGAAAAACAAACCAATACAAAATGTCAATTTACAATATCAACATTTATTGCAGAAGTCAGTGTCCAGAATTTATTTACATTTTTCACTTTGGCAGCTCCGAACTCCTAACAGATTCACAATGCCAGATTTCTTAATTACAAAAGCCACTGTACCAGGAACTTATTTACATTTTTTACATGAACAGCACTGAACACCTTACTGACACCGCCGCATTTTCAAGAGCTTTTGCTTCTCTCGCTTAGAGGACAGGCTCTTATTTGTTGCTTTCGTGAAGAAGTGCAGTCTGGTGAGTGCGTAAAACTTAATAATCGCTGTAGTGAACTTACGACCGTGCTCAATGCAGCCAACTTTTTCAAGTTCATGACCCTGAAGAAAAAGCAAGAAGCTAACCAAGCTTTCGGCATGAAGCTTGTTCCGGCTGAAAAACACAGTGAAAGCATTTTCAAGCTTTGTGATGAGCTTTTCAAGAGCGTCTGATGGGTAGAGCAGGCCCCCATGTGCGGCATCACTTTTAGTGTCAGTGACTTGCTGTCCTTAATCCATGCCTCTCTGACAACATCAACATGGACGTGACCATCTGGGATCTGCAGGCCTGTCGACACAAATGCATTTCGGATGCACTTGATCAGATGAGGAAAGTCTGATATGAAGTGCACGTTCCTCCCTGGCTCGACCGGATGTGGAACTTTGCAGGTGATTCCCTTGGAGGTAGCTGCACAAATAGAAAAAAAGCACCTGGTTGACTACCAGCTCATATAATAATTTAAAAATTAAAAGTAGAGATATCACACCTTTGATTCCAAACAGCTTCCAGAGAGCCCGGTTCCAGGTTGCACCATCGCTTGTCCAATAATCAACAAATAGTCCAGCGTTTTCCGCGAGGATTGTGGCTTCCAGAAGAATTTTAGACAGGACCGAGGCTTTTACATTGCCTTTTGAGGCAAAGACTCCAAGGATCTGAGTCCATTTTCCTGCAAAGATATCGAATCCCACAATGCATGAGTAGCCCCCCAGATGAAATCAGGTCAAAGAGGCAATCGAGTAATAGTACCAAACGCTGCTGATAAATTTAAGTACTTGTAAACATTCATCCACAATACGGCTGTGTTTCAAATGCACATACCTTGGAATGGCTGAAACATAACCACAAACCCGTGGTCACTGGCCTCTGTCTTATTTCTGTCATCCGTAAATGGTCCTAAGTCCACAAATCCTGTCAGCTCCCCAGATGCCTTGACGTTAATGTTCTCTGAAAGTTTGAGTTCGTCAAATAGAAGTCCACCATGACGGCTAAACTCGTCCATTTCCTTGGTCTTCTCCTGTAGTGCTGAAAGGACTTTGGAGTTAAATCCAAATGCGCTCTTAAAGCCTTTCATATGCTTGTCTAAGCAAGACTTGCTTGGCAGAGCCATTATTTCGTGCCTGCGGACATGCTCGTAAAGCTGTGGACTTTTCATTCGCATAAGAATGCACTCCAATATCCACAGTTTGTCATACGACATGCCTCTGGTCGACTTCCGAGTGGCTGCCTGAAAGCAGGTTTTGACAGCAATACGCTGCTTCACTGGCAGACCACTCAACTTTTTTTCTAAAGCAGCCCTGGCAATTCCATTGTTGACTGCCCGTAGCTCTTCAATGCTCCTTTGCGCCTTAGCCAGCTTCTTCTTGGCCCGGAACAACTGCACAGACTTCCTAGAAATGCGCTGCTTGAATGTGCCTCTGCGTTTCTTCTTCAGTCTGTTCCACTGATTTTGAATCAGTCTCCTCAGGTACTTGCACCTCAAGCAAGCTTTCCCATCCTGCGTAGTAACCAAGCACTTGGGCGAAAAACATCCGCTTCCGAAACGGACGCACTTAGTGCCAGCGGCAGGCTCTATTTCGCAGCCGCAACAAAGAAGCAGATCGTCGGCCCTTTTCAGCGAAGCGAGTGCGTCAGTTTCGGTGCTGACATAGTGCTCTTCCACATTTATGCCGCGGCAGTAAGTACTGCAAAGGTACCCATCTGCAGCACCTACTTCCTTGCTTGACGAAAACACTACGTGTTTCAACACGCACACGTCACCCGGCACTGTATTGTAGTGCCATGCGAAGCACAATGCTTCTGGGTTACTGGGCAAGCAATTTTGCTGCAAAATGCCGACAGCGGCGTTATGCTGTGAAACGGGTGCGGCGCCTGTGCTGTTTCCTCGCCAGCGGCAGCATCGTCACAGGCCTGGGAAGTCGTGGGTTCATTCGGCGCTTTACGCTTAGCAGGCGGAGCTGTGCAGTCAGCAATATTCCTCTCTTTTCTTTTTCGAGGCACTGGTTTAGTCAGGTAAGCGGGGCCATCCGGGAAAATGGTAGGAACGGCGTCCGGCGTTAGCGATGGTCGTTCACGGTCGAATTCGACGTCCTCGCCGTTGATGACATGCTTGAAAGTTATTTGGATGTAGCGATCATCAAAATGACGAGAACACACTACAGAAGTTTCGTCTAGAACTTTGTCACCTCTTTTGATGTTTCGCGCCCATTCTTGAAGATGAACAGGGTCTGCCGGAGCCCTGAACAGAGACACCTTCTCCTTGAAAGACTTGTACCCGCCTTTGCACAAAGGCCCAAAGCACGTTCTTCCTTTTTTTCAGGCATAGTCACACACAGTCGCTGCACGAGAATTCACGGCACATATTCGAAACGTAGCGAGAACACGCTTCACCACACAGACAAGTCGCCACCCGACACAACGTTGAAAGGCCCGGCCGGCACGCAAACTGACGCGCCAGTTGCAAGTAGCGCCCCCTAACGCTGAATCCAAATCAATTTCCCAGTCGCCGATGGGGAAGGCGCCTGTTCATGACACTAGGAGAATATTCTAGGCACTCTACCTTTCATATGCCCCAGTTTTAGGGGCGAAGCTCCTTAGGGCGTGGGCTGTGCGTCCCCTGTATGTAGCCACCTCTAGTTTAGTTCTTGCAGTGTTCACTAGATGGCGGTACCGTCCCCTGTATGTAGCCACCTCTAGTTTAGTTCTTGCAGTGTTCACTAGATGGCGGTACCATCTCCTGTATGTAGCCACCTCTCGTTTAGTTTTTGTAGTGTTTACTAGATGGTGGTACTTGTAGCTGATGATGAAAAGATGCAAGATGTTATAAACTAGAAAGCGGTACTTGTAGTTGATGAAAGACGCGAGATCTTATAAAATAAGAATGATGTCACATATGGCGCATGTCATTGGTTGAAGGCAATCGCTCGATTTAGTGCGGCGACGTACGCTAGGGGGAGCGATGTAATAAAATCGAGTGGGCAAAATGTACAGAGGATTCATGGTTTACCAGGTTTACCTCCGGAGCTTCGCCCACTCATCATCATTCACTTCGTGGATATGGCGGCACTTTTTTTTCCACTGTACACGACGCGCCGGGAACACGTTCACCGTTCGTTGTCACATCTAAGGAAGAATCGTGCTCCATCGAAGGAAGTTCGTTTTCATCGTTCATTTTTCTTTTTTTGCCGAGCACTTCTCCTCTCGATGTCCGAGAGCTGTGCTTCTGAGGAAGCTTTTTAGAGAGATAACTCAGCGTGTTTGGGAAGATCGACGGTATTGCATCGTCGGTAAGGCATGGGCGGCCGCGAGGAATCTTCACAACTTCACCATTCACGATGTGGGTGTAATCTCTCACAATAAACCGTTGCTCGAAGTGTAACTCGCACAGGACTGCAGTTCGGTCGAGCAGTTTGTCACCACGTGGAACGTACCGCTGCCATGCTTTCAGCCGGTCCTCATCGTTCGGTACGGTAAAAACAGAACTTTTTACACCTGCCTTTCGGGCTGAAACGTACCCGGTAGAGCATCCGGGCGCGATGCAGTGAGTCTGGCGCTTCACTGGTTTAGCCATCACGATATGCGGTGTGAAGAGGCTTCAAAACTTCAAGCATCGTGCGAACAGTACGAACGCAAGCCGCGGAAACGCAAGTGCTCCGCTTCGGCCCAGAGGGGCATCTAAAAAACGACACGCGCGCCACCGCTCGTCGGCATGAACAACTGACACCCTATCCGCCGACCTCCGCAGCGCGCAATGCTCCCACCTCCCCCTTCTAATTGCTGTCTTAATAGAACGCTATGTTCCAGCCACAGATTGTTGGCAGTATTATATTTTGTCCCATCCTTCTCATGCGAATCTTAATTTTTTTTTCTCGTGGGTAGCTTTTGTTCATGCTGTGCAGTTTATAGTGGCAAGATTTTTTTTTTACCTGGTATTGTGTGCTAAATGCATACTTATGTAACTTGCTCGAAAAATCTGTGCTTTGCTGCTATATACGGTTGTTCAGTTATGCCCTATTTCAATTTTGTCCAAAAAGTTTCGGATATTCACACACCCCTAATATTTACAGAGCTCTGTGCACACGCAGCTAGTTTATTATTAGTGCAGTAGATTGGACGCAGGGGTTTCAGGGCCGGTCAAGTGGTCATGAGCTGTTCATAATGAATTGAATGGGGCAGTGTTAGGACGAATACATGAACGAGAACGCTGCCCCATTCAACTCATCATGAACCCTATCTATCTAAGCCCACCTTTAGGTAGAGCCGCATTGTCCCAATTTGCCCTCGTCAAATCTGTATTCGATGTTTTGTGGAAAATAAAGCATAATACATACATAAATATACATATATACATTAGGCACGCAATTTGATGGTTGTCGCACTATCCGGCTAAATTGGGGCGCTGGAGCACAGTACAGTGCTGATGAACAAGTATGCATGGTGCAATAGGGGTGGTTCAGCGCGCAATGGCGCAGGTGAACAAGTTTGGTGCACAATGGCGTGAATGGTGCAGCTTTTCCACCCTTGATCGAGGAAGAAAACGTGCATGTGGAGAAGAGTGTCGCTACTTTAGAGACTCTACAGGAGCAGGCTCATGACACCATTTGCCCAGGTGATTGCTTTGACTAGGTTCAAGTCGCTGATTCGGACGCTGCCTTTTTTTCTTAAATTGACAAGCAAACATACGTGATGACGCACACATAAAAATGGAAAAAGAAAAAATACGCTTTAACAGGAACGACGACCTCAGTAACTTTATTTTAGGAGTCATCATGCACGTCTGCATGCTCCAACAAAACATGGCGATTCAGCCAGACTTGTTGCCTACACGAGTACGATTCGATTCTAGCACTAGACTGCTTCACTGTGAATAGGCCACCAACCCAACAACAAAAAACTGTGCCGTCCTAAGCACGAGCGGTAGCATATCCCACGAAAAGCCAACAGAAGCGAGATGCTTTGTGGAGCTCAAGCACGAGGTCACGCTGTTCAAGAGATATGCAATAGAAACCATAACTTGCACAAATGTGCTTTTTAGGAATTAAATGCACCTTGCAGTGGTGGAGATACTCACTTGCACAAATATTGTGGTACAAAAAAAACACTTGGCTATTGTGGCAGAAAGAAAATGCTGCTAACGCAGGCTGACAGACACTTGACCTCACTGTTCCCCCAAGAATGTTATTTTATTTGGCACAAAAAAGAAAGAATGTACAAAACTTGCATTCCTTTTAGAAAATACACCGGAAACTTCAACAGGTACTTCACTGCAAACACTGAAGAAAAAAAAAGGGCACTTTGGTAGCTGCAAGGCTGCTGCAGACTCGACCGGACCACGATGTTTTTGAAATCACTGGTGGCGAGGCTTAGTTCAAGGACAGATAGAAAGCAAGGTCCAACAGATGGTGTCATGCATACATCTAATTTGCTGCTTAGCCATAGTCAGGAAGTCCCTGTAAAGAAAAAACCACCACAAGAAGAGCTGAATACAATTGTTTCTAAAACACTACTTGCATTTGAAAGGGGCCCTGATACACAGTCACCTAATCATTCCGATGCTCCAGCTACGGCTCAAAAAGACACTAATATCAAGTAACGATTCATGTCAGAGTGAAATCTCAATGTATGAAGACGTCTAAAAGGTCAATATTATTAACAGCAGTGCTCTACTTACCGAGAAATTAAGGCAAATGCACGAGAACAAATGCCTCACAGTAGGACTTTCACAAAATGATACCCGTGATGTCAGACAAACTGCCTACAATTAATCATTAGTAATCGATCTAGCTGCACTAAATAAAGAGCCTTCCGTACATCAAGAGCTGTAATTAAATGCTGTTCAATCGTTTTTATTTGATTTGTGGAAAAAAGAACTGCCAGGCGTTACTATGGGAAATGGCGCAAAGTGGTTCGAAAATTCAAATTTCGCCAGGTTAAACTGCACTGGTCGTGCCATCTAGCAGGACCCAGTTGAACCAAGCATGCCTCAATCTTGTAAATCATGGCTAAAAATTGTTCATTGGCCGTTGTTGCTGCCGTGGCTCCCGCTACTTTCCCTCTGCTGCTGCTATAATGTCGGCGACCGCGAATTAAAGCTGGGCAACGTTGTGCATGGCAACAGTGACTTGAGATGTGCCACTGAGGCACATCTCAGTTTGAAGAGTGCTAACCAAATGCGGACCACTGAAACACAATTTTATTTCAAAACAATTCCTTCCTTGACACATAACTACGAGGTTTCTGGAGCACTATAAGTCAACAACCATCGTTAAGTTAAGAGTTACCTTTAGTGAAATTCTTTAAAGACCGATGCCATGTTTACATTCACTGTTCGTAATAAACGTGGTATGTAACAGCATCCGCACTTATAAGAGCATCCGCACTTATAAGAACATCCGCACTTATAAGAGAACACTCTTTGGTGTCGCGCCGAAATGAGACAGTCTTTGCACCATGTGATTGCAGGCACAGAGGAACCAGTTTTCTGTATGATCAAGCTTCAAAGCTGCAATAATAGTATCTGGGGTTGAACGTCCCAAAACCACGATATGATTATGAGAGACGCCCTAGTTGAAGGGTCCAAAAATTTCAACCATGTGGTGGTCTTTAACATGCACTGGCATCACAGAGCACAGGGGCCTCTACCGTTTCACCTCCACGGAAATACGACCGCCGCGGCTGGGATCGAATTCGCGACCCTTGGGCCAGCAGCCTACCATCGTTACCGCTACACAACGGCGACGGCCACTTCAAAGCTGCATCGTTCTGTTTTATTACATTACTATGCTTACTACATAAAAATCAGATGTTTGTGGTAGCTCATGCGTGTTATCGATTCTTAGCAACCGGTTTATGAAGCGTGTTTGTAGCCTGTTTCAGATTAGGGAGTGGGTAGCGTTTGGTCGGATACTCTGCAAGGATTGCTTCCCCATTCATATTTTTGAAGCATTCATGTGCTATGACGGCTCAAATGGCCTACATTCTCCCTTACTGTACTTAAGTTTACGACCCATGAAGAGCACATTTTCCTAGAAGCTGCTCCCCATTGAGAAAAAAAAACCTGTATTCACATGCATGTAACATGCTTGTGTGTGGCGCTTTGCGTACGCTACTGAACAAAATAATGCTGTTCCAGTAAATGAGTTACATTCGATCGTCTGTGAACTGGTTACGCACTAAGATGGTTTCACAAGCGTTCAATCAGTGACGTAAAACTACCTCGCTGCAACTGGTTGAAATTGTAAGGTGCCAGTAGGCCCCAAAAGCAAAGAAGTGTGAACACAAATATGCGAACCATGACATGCATATATCATGCGATCACTGTTTAAGAATCTGAAAGATGCGATTGCACGATTGAAGTGCCCTGTCGCGTCCAACATTGCTCGTGATCAAGATAAACATAAGTTCAGTTGAGGTAACTAAATCAAGCTATTGCAGGCACACTTCAATTTTATTTGCTTACATTCTTGTAACGTTATAGCATACGCTGCTGGGCTTACGAGCGGTGATGATGCAAATGTGCCAGCTGTATCGTTTTCTGTATCCGAATCATTCTAGTAAAAATTCCTGGTCAAACTTCACGACAATGTTCGTCAAGCAGCCGACACAACCTACTGAATAAGAGAACACGTATTTTGCATTTATTTTTCCTACAACGCTACTGTGCATACAATTAAGAATGCGTATTCTACAGTACAATAATCATGTTTCTTGCTTTTGAAGACACTACAACATTTTTATGGCAACACCTGTTTTAAAGAATGTGATTACCGAGCGACTGCATAGCAACAAAGTGCGGCTGGTGCTCTACAGTTGATTTCACAATATTTATAGCATGTGGCCAAGAAAATGGCTGTTTGGTTTCATCCCATGTAACCATACGGGTACTCCCGACGCACACACCTCTGAAGTCGGTGGTGTGTAAAAGATTTCGCTCGCAACACCATCACTGGGGCTATCACAGTTCAGTGTGCAACATCTCGTAAGAGCTGCCGGAATGTGTTTTCACATATTCTGTGCATTTGATGTGCATTGTGAAGTGCACCATGGATTCGAAATTACCCTCTACTATCGTTATGAGGATCATGGTGCCAGTGGCTGCCCCCGGTGTGCTCGTCACTTCGAACTGCATAGTATTTCAGCTGCAGCCACCGTGTTGTCAAGGCTTTACTTAGAAGGTCATTGACTCTGGCATGTATTATATTTCACACTGCGTGTTGAGAAACGCATGTGCGGAGTATTATTGAAAGAAAAACAAGTTTGAAACGGCCAGCACTTCGTTTTCTGAGGTGTGAAGAAATGCACATACAGCTTTGTGAACACTAACCAATTATTGTGCCTGCTGACTCGCCAAGTGTGCAAATACATGCACGAGCCATGGTTCGCATTCAGGAGAAACGAAACAAAGAAAAGCGAGTTCACGTACTGCACTGACTCATTTACTTTTGCAAGGGGGGTGGGTGTATCTTTCTTCAATGGCATATTCTCACTGACTTTGTGGTGTGACCGGCACCTATGGAATTGTAGTTATTTCTTTACCCAAAAGTAGTACAGAAACACCTGTTGCTCAGTAGGGTCGAACGTTGCGCACGAATGAAGCACTTGCTGCTTATGCGTGTGCAAGGAGTATATGAACACAGTCGCTCACTCTCAGCTAGGCCATGCGAGCGGCTGCGCTCTTCAGAGGCTTAGCGCATCAAAGGCATCTCACACGAAAGCAAAAGTGGCACAGGTATAGAGCAAGCTGACAGTCCAACTTCGTGTCCTATGTATATTAGTTTTGATGGACGACTAGAAAAGAAGCAGTGGTGCTGTTAAGAGTGCAACCATCAACTGGTGAGACGCGATGCCGGTGTTCAAACCCTAATATCGCTTTGCACGACAAAATTGCTGCTTTATTGTGCCTCTAAAGGAAAGCCACTTGGTTGTATTTACGTGCTGAAGCGTGATCAGTGAGGCACGTGACAAAATTTAAAGCACACTTGGAAGCTGATTACATCACCATAGATCTATTAATTTCCGTCATATATACTCTCACAGGTAAAGCTCAACAACAAAAAAATAGCCGATAGGCTTAGTTAACTACAAAAGCCACAAAATGTTGAAATAAAAAAAAAGCAGAGCAGCAGAAACAGAGAGCAGAGATGTGGCACTAAAGACTGACCTTTATTTCGGAAAAAACTTTCCTAGGTCCGTACAATGCATGTGCAGCTAACAAACCAAAAAACCAAGCAAGCTAATATCTAAGCAAATAACTTCTGTGCTAGAAACAAACATTTTTTCCTGGTGAGATAAACTGAAGCTGCACTAAGACATTTGTCTGGACCCAATCTCCCGATATGGAATGCCTCAATATTTTCCCATTCAAGCTGAGTCTTAGCCTTACCTAAAATTGTCACCTTATCAAAGAAAGGCGTACACCCAAACGTCTTGCAGTGCAACGGCAAGTTACCACCAGTGCCCGAGGGTAGAAGATTTTCATGCTCCCTCAGCCGAACATACTATTCAACAAGATTGTCATACGTAAAACCTGTCACAACTTAACAGAATGCCATACACGACACATATGCTACACGCGCAGTATTTCCTCACATATTTCATGTCACACACACTGCTTATCGTGCCGAGCTTCACAACCCTCTTGCAAAGACCCGTGAGTTTTCTGGGTGCAGAAAGATTTTTTTTTTAATTAGAGCCCCGCAATAGCACAACCGGGCACGACCATTTAGTATTTCATAAGGTGCTTTGTGAAGGCATTCCATGTTGGAATTGCTCGTTACCGCTAGCTCCTCTATCAAAACACAAGCATACCAAAAGCAGATGTTTGAAATTCATTTTGAGGCCTCAGATTGGCTGCTTCAGCAATGTCGCTCCAGCATGCCTCACCATTGGTCTGATACTCGCTCCAGGATAGCATCGTCTGCTGCTATTGCATAGCAGATGTCGAAAATAGTGCTACTTAGTGACATTTTTGCATTTGTTCTGTGTTCACAGGCCGCCAATTTGTTAAGGCAGCTGCAAGTGGAAGCTCAGTCATAAGACATAGTCAACACTTGGGACTGTGATGAAGACTAGACTACTGCATGACAACTCCAAGTACTCACAGCTGAGCACGACGTACTATGAAACATCGAGTACCGCGGCCACGAACATTACAACCGAGCTTTCTGCTTGAAGTCGTGGCAAGGCCCAACTCTGCTCTGAACTTTCTGGACAATCATAATGAAGTTCAGCGCAAAAAATAGACAACAAACAAGCCAGAAAACAAGGACACAGCCCATTCTTTCAACTAGAGTTTATTAGAATGGGACGCACGTTCTTTGCACCTTTCCAACAAAGAGCTTTTGTTTTTGGCGAGATATGGAAAGGAGGGCGGTGCTAGTGCTCATGTGTGACTTATCGGCACTTTAGTTTTCACCTCGCGATTTTTTTTTCTTCCTTATTTTTATTTTTT